TATCCCTCAGTTAGACCCGCACTCGGAGCGCCGTGCGCAGTTCCAGTTCCCGTATCCCTCAGTTAGACCCACATTCGGAGCACTGTGCCCAATTCCCTGGTCTCCAGTCTGTCAGTGGAGAGTTAGCCATGACAGGGGAGGACCCTCTTGAGAAAAAGAAATGCTGGAACAGAGCAGAGGGGGTGAATGGCCTGTTTCAGGATGTGATTCTGAGCAATCCTGGTGGTCTCTTTTTGTAATGATGATACTGCTCGGAGTTAGCATTTATGAGGGGATTTGGGAGAATGTTCCATGATGTTCCACAGCTTTATCTCTCTCTCTCTCTCTGGCCTGAATCGAGCTGTAATTCCTCTTGTAGATGGCCCACGCGATGTTACCATTGTTCGCAATGAGCCACAGCGAGAGGTGAAGGAGAGAGACCGGGTTACCTTGACCTGTAACTCCAGGAGTAATCCAGAAGCTGGCTACACCTGGTATAAGGACAGTGTGAACACAGCAGCTCACAAGGGGACAGGGAAAGTCCTGACCATTCGCTCCATCAACCCAACGGATTCTGGAGATTACTACTGCAAAGCAGAAAATGGATTTGGAAGCTCCACCTCAAACAGCTTCAGGATCGAGGTGCTCTGTGAGTGAGATTCACAGATTGACCTTTTCCCAAATCAATCTCCCCAGGCTCCATCACCACTTGCTACATGAGAGCTATTTATCCAAAACGTCACTGACCCTGTCTCCGTAACCTCCTCCAGCCCCTATACCAGTTCCTGTCTCTGTAACCTCCTCTAATTCCAGCCTCTTGAGTATTCCCCGATTCCCATCACTCTACACTGGAATTCTACTCTTAAACCTTTCTGCCCCCTCCCTATCTCTTTCTCCTCCTTAAAAGCCACCCTCTTTAACTGACCCTTTGACCATCTGCCCCTCCTGTGTCTCTGCGGCTCTGTGACCCATTTTCCTGAGATTTCTCCCCATCGCTATGTCTCACTGAGTGACTGATGCCCGAGAAATGCTGTCTCTCACTGAGGGTCTTGTCTCTTCTCTCAGATGCCCCTCGGAACATGAAGGTGTCGATCTCTCCATCGAACAGTGCGATATACGAAGGTGACAACATCACCCTGAGCTGCACCAGCGACAGTAACCCCCCACCCAGCTGGTACAAGTGGACATGGAGACGGGGAGAGGAGACTGAGGCTCTGCAGTCTTCCAAGAGAGATCTGACCTTGTACAGAATCACTCACAAACAGGAGGGTGTGTACTCCTGCCAGGCAGGGAACACAGTCGGTGCCAACAAGTCAGAGGGTCACAGGATAGAGGTTGTGAGTAAGTACACAGCCCCTAATATTCACCTCTGACACACCCACCCCTCCTCCGGTTCCCTCTAGTGCTCTCTCTCTGTTACCCTCACTGAATGCCCCGCTATCAACATCCTGGGGGTTACCATTGACCAGAAACTCAATTGGATGCACCATATAAACACAGCGGCTACAAGAGCAGGTCAGAGGCTGGGAATCCTGCAGCAAGTAACTCCCCTCCTGACTCCCCCCAAAGCCTGTCCCACCATCTACAAGGCACAAGTCAGGAGTGGGATGGAATACTCCCCACTTGCCCCTGGATGGGGGCAGCTCCAACAACACTCGAGAAGCTCGACACCATCCAGGACAAAGCAGCCCCCGCTCAATTGGCACCACATCCACAAACATCCCACTCCCTCCCCCCACCGATGCTCAGTCGCAGCAGTGTGTACCATCTACAAGATGCGCTGCAGAAACTCACCAAAGATCCTCAGGCAGCACCTTCCAAACCCACGAACACTTCCATCTGGAAGGACAAGGGGCAGCAGGTACATGGGAACACCACCCCCTGCAAGTTCCCCTCCGAGCCCCTCCCCATCCTGACTTGGGAAATATACCCCCGTTCCTTCAGTGTCACTGGGACAGAATCCTGGAATTCCCTCCCTAAGGGGCATTGTGGGTCAACCCTACAGCACATGGACTGCAGCGGTTCAAGAAGGCAGCTCACCACTTCACCGCCCCCCCCTCCAATTTCTCAATGAGGCAACTAGGGACAGGGAAATAAATGCTGAACACTGCCCCAGTGACACCCACGTCCCACAAATGAACAAAAAATTCACCCAATGGGGGCAGAATGAAGGAGTTCTTAGGGAGTACATACGTTGCTATTTCTCAGTTGCTATTTGTCCCAATAGTGGGAGGTTTTGATGGGGATATGCTGGGCATGTGGTTAATTGCTCCAGTCTCCTTAGCTGAGGAAGGATTTCCTCACCTTAGAGTGAGCACGCTGATGGTTAGTTCAATTAAATCCTGGAACAAGGGGCTGAGAAGCGATGCAGCCAATCAGCATAATAAGTTGGTTTATCCCACTGCATTCCAGGGAACACTGAAATAACCAAGAGGGGCAAATAGTAGGGGTCAAAATCAATAAATAACCATTACTAGACAAAATGTACTAACGGGGTTGGAGACTGATTTTCCCTGGAGTGTTGGAGGCTGAGGGGGTGACCTTATAGAAGTTTATAAAATCATGAGGGGCATAGATAGGGTGAATAGACAAGGTCTTTTTCCCCAGGGTAGGGGAGTCTAAAACCTGAGTGCATAGGGTTAAGGTGAAAGGGGAAAGATTTAAAAGGGACCTGAGGGGCAACTTTTTCACACAGAGGGTGGTGCGTGTATGGAACGAGCTACCAGAGGAAATGGTGGAGGCTGGTACAATTACAACATTTAAAAGGCATCTGGATGGGGACATGATTGGGAAGGGTTTAGAGGGATATGGGCCAAATGGGACGAGATTAATTTCGGATATCAGGTCGACATGGATGAGTTGGACTGGAGGATCTATTGCGTGCTGTACAGCTCTGTGACTCTATGATCCTATGACTGTCAGTCCCTTGATCCTGATGGGATGCATCCCATCATATTAAAGGAAGCAGCTACAGAGATAGTGGATGCACTTATTGTGATCTTCCAGGAATCCTTCAGTCCTAGAAGAGTCCCAGAGGGTTTGGAAGCTGCGAAAGTAACATCTTTATTTGAAAAGGGAAGATACAGAACAGGTTACCACACGCTAGTTAGCTTAACGTCTGTCATTGTGAAAACGTTAGAGTCTATTATCAAGGATATAACAGCAGCACAGTTAGAAATACGTTGTATGATTATGCAGAGTCAGAATAGCTTCATGAAGGGGAGTCCATGCCTTAGAAATGACTGGAATTCTTGAGGAGGTGACAAGCAGCATAGATAAAGGGGAAGCTGTGGATGTGACATCAAATTATCAAAAGGCGTAGGGTTTTTGGGGGCATGTCTTTTCCTGAAGGCAGGTGATTTCAAGACTAGGGGGCACATTTTTAAGGTGAGAGGAGAGAGATTTAAAAAGACATGAGGGGCAAATTCTTTACACAGAGGGTGGTTCATGTGTGGAATGAACTTCCTGAGGAAGTGGTGGATGTGGGTACAGTTACAACGTTTAAAAGACATTTGGATAAGGACATGAATAGGAAAGGTTTGGAGGGATATGGGCCAGGAGCAGGCAGGTGGGACTAGTATAGTTTGGGATTATGGTCAGCATGGACTGGTTGGGCCGAAGGGTCTGTTTCCGTGCTGTATGATTCTATAGCTCTATCAGGCTACTTAATGAGATCAGAGCCCATGGTGTTGGAGGCAGTTTATTAGTTTGGAGAGAGGATTTTCGGGCTAATTGAAGTCAGAGAGTTGGGATAGAGGGGGGCATTTTCAGGATGGCAACCTGTAACTCCTGGAGTCCCACAGGGATCAGTGAGGGGGCCACAATTATCTACAAAATCTATTAATGACTTGGATCAGGAAAGTGATCTTACGAAAGCTAAACACACAAGTATATGTGGGAATGCAAGCCTCATAAAGTCATAGAAATGTACAGCACAGAAACAGGCTCTTTGGTCCAACCGGATATCCGAAATTAATCTAGATTAATGTAGATTAACTAATCTAGATTAATTAATATGGGCCAGCATTTGGCCACCCTCTGTGTGAAAAAGTTGCCCCTCAGGTCTCATTTAAATCTTTCCCCTCCCACCTTAAACCTATGCCCCTCTAGTCTTGGACTCCCCTACCCTGGGGGTAAAGATCTTGGCTCTTCACCTTATCCACGCCCCTCATGATTTTATAAACATCTATAAAGTCACCCCCCAGCCTCCGATGCTCCAGGGAAAATAGCCCCAGTCTATTCAGCCTCTCCCTGTAGCTCAAACCCTCCAACCCTGGCAACATCCTTGTAAATCTTTTCTGAACCCTTTCAAGTTTCACCACATCCTTCTTATAGCAGGGAGACCAGAAGTGAACACAGTGTTCCAAAAATGGACTAACCAATGTCCTGTATAGCCATAACATGACCCTCCCAACTCCTATACACCTAGACCCACAATGCCCTAAGGGAGTGAATTCCAGGATTTTGACCCATCAACATTGAAGGAACAGGGATATGTTTCCAAGTCAGGATGATGAGGGGCTCGGAGGGGAAATTGCAGGGGGTGGTGTTCCCATGTACCTGCTGCCCCTTGTCCTTCTGGATGGAAGTGGCCGTGGGTTTGGAAGGTGCTGCCTGAGGATCTTTGGTGAGTTTCTGCAGCGCATCTTGTAGATGGTACACACTGCTGCGACTGAGCATCGGTGGGGGAGGGAGTGAGATGTTTGTGGTGCCAGTGAAGCAGGGGCTGCTTTATCCTGGATGGTGTCAGTGCAGTCACGGATTAGGAATAGGGTGTAGTGTTCCCAGTGGCACCTTCACCTTCAACATTGTCCAATCATCAGCGACCATCCCCACTTCTGACCTTATGGTGGAGGGAAGGTCATTGATGAAGCAGCTGAAGATGTTTGGGCCGAGAACGCTACCCTGAGGAACTCCTGCAGAGATGTCCTGGAGCTGAGATGACTGACCTCCAACGGCCACGACCATCTTGCTGTGTGTCAGGTAGGACTCCAACCAGCGGAGAGTTTGCCCCCGATACCCATTGAGTCCAGTTTTGCTGGATCTCCTTGATGCCACACTCAGCCGAATGCTGCTTTGATATCAAGGGCTGTCACTCTCACATCCCCTCTGGAATTCAGCTCTTTTGTCCATGTTTGAACCGGGGCTGTGATGGATCGGGGACCAAAGAGACAGAATTTTAATTTGTGTCAATAATATTCTAATTAACGTTCTCCACCACAGAAAGCTCATTCGGACTCATAATCGGAATTTGCACAGCACTGCTGGCCTTCATAATCACAGTGGCTTTGGTGTTCGTGTGTTACAGAAGGTAAGGACTGTTAGATCACACCTTCAAATATAATACAATGGAACGTGTCAAAAAGCTTCTATCAAACCTTAGTTATACATCGTTCAGAGTTCAGTGCACAGTTCCCATCTCCGTATCCCTCAGTTAGAACCACACTCGGAGCACCGTGCACAGTTCCAGTCTCCGTCTCCCTCAGTTATGGAATAAATCTGATGGGGAATTAAGGAAAATGTCTTTCCCCTCAGAGAGTAGGGGAGGGGGATAATAAGGGACTCACTCCCACAGGGAGTGGGGTGGGTGTGGAATGTTGCTTGCCTGTGCCCCTGATCCCAGGGCTGTGACATTTACCTAGGGAGCTGTGAACATTCTCTGAATGTAATTATCTGTGCTCTGTTCTCTTAGGAAACGGAAACTGTCTGAATCTAGCAGCCAACAACACATTGAAGCAACAAACACTGTGTACAGCGTGGTCATGAAACGTAACCAGGTTAGTGTGGAAAGTTCAGGGGAGGCCATTCTGCCCCTCTTAGCTGCTACCCCGTTCAACAGAATTGTTGCTGATCGACTGTACAGCCCTCACCCGCAGGCCCCCAGAAACTGATCCATCTCATAATCTGGGAGCTACTCAGTGACTGGACACGCCCCACCCCACACACAGTCTTTGGGAGAGGGAATTCCAAAAATATCACCCCGCCCCTCCCCATCTTACCACAACAACATTGGAATGTACACGTTCCCCGCCTTCCCTGTCTGAGAGAGTACTCCCACTCCCCTGGATATTGGGACCTCAGGCCATTACCACCGCCCCGCCCCCCCCATCCCAATCCCCAGATTCCCAGGCTCCAGTCTGAGGGACAACGGTGCGGCACTCCCTCAGCACTGACCCTCCGACAGTGCCCACTCCCTCAGCACTGACCCTCCGACAGTGCCCATTCCCTCAGCACTGACCCTCTGACAGTGCCCACTCCCTCAGCACTGAGCCTCCGACAGTGCCCACTCCCTCAGCGCTGACCCTCTGACAGTGCCCACTCCCTCAGCGCTGACCCTCTGACAGTGCGGCGCTCCCTCAGCGCTGACCCTCTGACAGTGCGGCACTCCCTCAGCACTGACCCTCCGACAGTGCGGCGCTCCCTCAGCACTGACCCTCTGACAGTATGGCTCTCCCTCAGCACTGACCCTCCGACAGTGCGGTGCTCCCTCAGCACTGACCCTCTGACAGTGTGGCACTCCCTCAGCACTGACCCTCCGACAGTGCGGCACTCCCTCAGCACTGAAAGTGATCGAGAGAGAAAAGTCCAGAGATATTTAGAGTGACACAGAGATAGAAACATAGAGGGAATTATTTGAAGACAAATGGAGATAGAGAGAGAGAGGTACAGATACGGAGAGAGAGAGAAAAATAGAGAGAAAGAGACGAGTAAAAGCATACAGAGATAGATAAAGAGATGGAGAGAGACTTGAACATATATATATGTAGAGAGAGAGAGACAGGAAGAGTGAGAGAGACAGATAGAGAGACAGATACAGACAGAGAAAGAGATAGCGAGAGAGAAAGACAGAGAGAGGAACAGCAAGAGAGTGTGAGACAGAGAGACAGATAGAGGGACAGAGAGACAGAGACAGAGAGCAACAGACAAAGAGAGAGAGATAGAATGATACACAAATAGAGGTAGATAAAGAGAGAGATAGGAAACAGACAAAACGATAGAGAGAGGGAGATGGAGAGAAATAAAGAGTGATATGCGGAGAAAGGGAAGGAGGTAGACAGAGAGAGTGAGGGCAATAGAGACAGAGAGACAAACTGGATAAACCGATACACACTGTCAGCTGAAGTTGTTTGGTGTCGGACTGTGTTGCTGTGATACGTTGAGCAGGGCGAGGCACTATCTAAATGCACATTGCTGAGCAGTGATGTCGGCTGACCCTTCTGCTATTGTTGTTGTTGTGTCCCCTGCAGGCGAAGGAGAAGACGGTTTATGAAAATATGGTGATGACCGAGTGCACAGACTCTCAGAGGCACTCCCCACCAGACGGGTGTGTGGACTACGCGACCATCAACTTTGTGAGCAGCTCCCAGATCCCGGGGGGGCAGAAGCAAACAGGAGCGGCTCGGTAATGTCTGACTGAGGGCTGGAACTGCGCGGTAACAGCCGGACCACGTAGCGCCGGAGAATGAGCCTGGCCTGGGCCGAGGGATTGCTGCCGAGTTGTTTTGCAGAGGGATAGCACAGACCTGGTGGGCTGAATGGCCGATTCCTATTTTGGATAGAGACAGAGAAACTAGAATTGGTGCCAGTAAAGTAGGCTATCTAAGATTACAAAGAGATCTTGATCAAATGGGTCAATGGCTGAAGAGCAAATGGAGTTTAATCTGGATAAATGTGAGGTATTGCATTTTAGTAAAACGAACAAGAACAGGACTTGTACAATTAATGATAGGGCTTTGGGTAGGGTTACAGAACAGGGGGACCTAGGGGCTCAGGTACATAATTCTTAGAAGTTTGTGTCACATATAGACAGGGTGGTTAAGAAGGTTTTTTAGCACACTTGCCTTCATTGCTCAGACCTTTGAGTGTAGGAGTTGGGGACGTCATGTTGAGTTTGTACAGGACGTTGGTGAGACCTCTTCTGGAGCACTGTGTCCAGTTCTGGTCGCCCAGTTATAGGAAGGATATTATTAAACTGGAGAGGGCTCAGAAGAGATTTACCAGGATGTTGCTGGGTGTGGAAGGTTTAAATTAAAAGGAAAGGCTGGGGCTTTTTCACTGGAGTGTAGGAGGTTGAGAGGTAACCTTATAGAGTAGTACAAAATCGTAAGGGGTATAGATAGGGTAAATGGTTGGTGTCTTTTCTCTAGGGTGGGGGATTTCAACACCAGGAGCCACATTTTTAAAGGTGAGAGGAGAGAGATTTAAGGAAGACATGAGGGGCAAATTTCTCACACAGGGAGTGGTTCATGTGTGGAATGAACTTCCTGAGGAAGTGGTGGATGTGGGTACAGCTACAGCGTTTAAAAGACATTTGGATAAGGACATGGATAGAAAAGGTTTGGAGGAATATGGGCCATGAACAGGCAGGTGGGACTAGTTTGGTTCACTCTAGTGATTAGGGTCTAGAACGTACTGCCTGAGAGTATGGGGGGCGCAGGTTCACGTGAGGATTCTGAGAGGAAATTGGATCATTAGGGAGGGAATTTCAGGATTCTCACCCAGCGACCCTGAAGGAACGGGGATATATTTCCCAAGTCAGGATGGTGAGGGGCTCGGAGGGGAACTTGCAGGGGGCTGATGTTCCCATGTATCTGCTATCCCTTGTCCTTCGGGATGGAAGTGGTCGTGGGTTTGGAAGGTGCTGCCTGGGGGGCCTTGGTGAGTTTCTGCAGCGCATCTTGTAGATGGTACACACTGCTGCGACTGAGCGTCGGTGGGGGAGGGAGTGAATGATGAAGGTGGTGCTTATCAATGAGAAGATGGGGTCCAGAAATCAGCCAGAGGAAGTGTGAAAAGAGAAGGAAGTTGGATGTGATATTTTTCAAAAACCTTTCCTGGGATGTGGGCTTCACTGACAAGTGCACCATCCCTAATTACCCTTCATTAAGTGTCACATTCAGTCATTTTAAAGGGCCGTTAAACATGAACCATATTGGCCAGGAGTCATGTGTAGCCCAGAACCATTGAGGACGGTAGATTTCCCTCCCTGAGATGAGACCGCAGCTGGTGTATAGTGTACAGTTGTGGAGAGAGCAGTGAATAAAGCACACAGGGCCCTCGGCTTTATTCACAGGGGCCTGGAGTACAGGAGCTGGGGGGAGATGGTGAAATTGTACAAGAGCCTTGTTACACCTCAGCTGGAGTATTGTGTCCAGTTGTGGGCCCCACATTATAGGGAAGATGGGAATATTTTGGACAGAGAGAGAGTGTGGGAGTGATTTACAAGAACAGTCCCAGGGGTGAGAAAGCTCCGTGCTGAGGACAGATTGAAGCAGTTGGGGACGGTTCCCCCTGGGAGAGGAGAAGGCTGAGGGACAGGGAGATTCAGTCGGGGGCAGGGGGGTTTCAAACCCTTGAGCGGGGGCTGGACAGTCGATCGGGAGAAGCTGTTCCCGCTGGGAAAAGGAACAAGAACGAGAGAGGGGAGTAGATATTTAAAGTGACGTGCAAGCAGAGTGAGGGGAATGTGAGGGTAAACACCGTGTTCCCCCACCTCAGCGAGTAGTTAGGGGGTGGGATATACTGCCTGGAAATGTCAGGGGGGCAGGTTCAATTGGAGCATCAGGGAGGGGCATTGGATGGGGATTGGGATATAAATGGGGGGCAGAGAGATGGGGGTAAAGGGAGGAGATTGGGGGATAGAACCATTGGATGGGGATTGGGATAGAAATGGGGGGGGGCAGGGAGATGGGGTGAGGTAAGGGAGGAGATGGGCACCTGGGAAAGCTGCTTATTTGAAGAGGTGGCACAGGGATGATGGCTCGACTGGCCTCCTGTGATGTAACACTTTCAGTGACTCCAAGCAACATACCTGAAACAGATGGGTTTATACAGGTCACCGTTACAGAGATTAATTCATTCCCCAACACGGCATTTCAATCAGGGACTGATTATAGTAATATTAATTAATCTGTTTGATGCTGATTGAAGGAGGGATTGGTGATGTTGGTGGTGGGTGGTGTTGGGGTGTTGAGGGGGATGTGGGGATGGAATTCGTCCCAGGCTTCCCAGACCATCACTGGAATGAGGGGTCGGGTGAGATTTCCAGTTTGTAACTTCTGACCAGCCAATATCTGCAGAGACT